GGGGTCGTGACATTAACGAGCAAAGTTAGTATCGCATTGAGCAAATGAGCTATGAATTGAGTTTCGATTGAATGACTAGGTTCGATTGAATGACTAGGTTCGTTAGAGCCTTTTTAGTGAAAAATAAACTGCTAGCGTAAACAGTTCTGGTGCACACCTTTAGCGACGGAAATTAGACTTTTAGCGACCAGATTAATGTATTTATTGGGCAGAAACTTAAGGACCAAAAATGGTCATTTCCTTCATTTCGTTTTGGATTTTTGGAGGACGGTTCTTGGGCGATTTTGAGGATTTCTTCAATACTTAAACTTGAGTAAGTGCCCTATATCTGAAAGTGATTATATTTCATAAATTCATGGTTATATTCATCATTTAATTCAGATTTAAATGGAAGAAATTGGGATTTTTTCAAAATCTTTTAAAAACGAAAAATTTAGATTTGGAAGCCGAGTTGATATTGAAATTTGATAAAATTGGTATGGTTGAACTCGTATCGGAATGGGTGTTCGGATTTCGTGAAAATTCTATCGGATTCCGAGAGGCGATCCCCGCATTGACTTTTGGTTGACTTTTTAATGTGAAATTTTAAGTCGGCGTTTTATTATCCGGAATTATTTATGATGAATTTTAATGAAATTATGCAAATGATTTGGATATATTTGAGATGTCCGGAGGTCAATTCAAGCAAGAAGGATATTTTGGAATATCATACTAACTTTAAAGAGGTAAGTATCTTGCCTAACCTTGAGTGGAGAAATTATCCCTTAAGCATTGAGTCGTATGTGCCATTTGTGTAATGTAAAAGTCGTGTACGCGAGGTGACGAGTATGTACTCAGGCTTATATGTGCAAATTGTATTTGTTTAAAGTCATAGGAATTCTTAAATATTAAACTAGAAAATTTGCCGACACTTATTAAATCCTTATTTGTCATGGCTCGTTCTTTGTTTGTCGAATTTGTTTTATATGATAGTTTGGTGTGATTGCTACTTTGATTTCTATGTGAATTCCGTGTGCTTGTTGAGTTGACATTTTTTGGAAATAATTATATTTTGGACTTTCCACCTGCAAATCATTTTAAAATAAGTTTAAATGGAGACATTAATATATTTATCGAAAATTTAGATTTAAGAAGAGGTTGTTCTTGCTGAGTTATTTTTCCATCATTGCGGTTGCATATTTACTTTGGGACTACGAGGTGTTTACTTGGGAGATCCCATTGTACTGCATATTTACTTTGGGACTACGAGGAGTTTACTCTGGAGATTCCCATGTACTGCATATTTACTTTGGGACTACGAGGAGTTTACTCTGGAGATTCCCATGTACTGCATATTTACTTTGGGACTACGAGGCATTTATTCGGGAGATCCCCATGTCTTGCATATTTACTTTGGGACTACGAGGCGGTACATATCCCCCCTGTTGAGCATTTACATTTAGATTTACGAGGCGATACCTCGGAAGCTCCCCTGTTGTTTACATATATGTGTTGTGCCGTTACTTTTCTGTATATTTCTCGTCGTTCACTCATCAGTCATTTCATTAAATTATTTTGTCTTCTGTCTTGTGAATTGCCCGTACGGTTGGGATAGAAACATGGGCACGAGGTGCCGTGAGATATGAAAGTGGGCTGAGATCCGAGATTTTTAGGATTATAAGTTTAGATGTTAAGCGGTGATTTTTACTTGAAATAACTTATATTCGAAAGATCTTATTCGAAGGAATTATATTCGAAAGGTTTTATTTGAAAGAATTATATTCGAAATATATTTATTTGAAAGAAATTATATTCGAAGGATTTTTACTTGAAAGAAATTATATTCGAAAGATCTTATTCGAAAGATTTTTATTTGAAAGAATTATATTCGAAATATATTTATTTGAAAGAAATTATATTCGAAAGATCTTATTCGAAAGATTTTTATTTGAAAGAATTATATTCGAAATGTTTTATTTAAAAGAATTATATTCAAAAGATATTTATTTGAAGGAATTATATTCAAAGGATTTTATTTGAAAGAATTATATTCGAAAGATATTTATTTGAAAGATTTATATTCCTAAGGTATTTATTTGGAGAAAGTATATTCGGGATATATTTAATTGAAAGGATTACATTCTAAAGATTTTTATTTGAAAAACTTATAGATAAAAGAAGTATATTTTGAAGGACTTGATTAATTAGTTGTACGTGTCTTTATTATTCGCGTGAGCAATATTTATGGTGTTCTTGTTGCCTTATTATTTAAATCACTAGTTGATTATTGTTGCTACCAGTGCTATCTGTTTTTATTATTTTTGTATGCTATGTTGCACGTTTTATTTGACTAGTGAGTGTCTTGACTGTACCTCGTCACTACTCCACCGAGGTTAGTCTTGATACTTACTGGGTACCGACTGTGGTGTACTCATACTACACTTCTGCACATTTTTGTGCAGAGCCCAGGTATTGGAGATATCGGACTCGGGCATAGTTAGTGTGTTGATCGCAAGGATTCAAGGTAGAGTTGTTTGGTCGTCGCAGTCCCTTGGAGTCTTTCTATTTTATTGTACTGTCAACTCTTATTCGAACAATATTGTATATTCGATCCTTGAGATCATTGCATGTATTCAGTTAGAGTTTGTGACTCAGTATTACCAGTCTTGGGAGGTCGTTTGAATATTTTCGTTGTTGGTTTTTGACACTTGTATTAAATTATATGTAAAAAAATGGCTTGAATTGTTATTATGATCGGCTTACTTAGTCTTAGAAATTAAGTGTCATCACGACGCTTGTGGTGAGATTTTGGATCGTGACACTATTGCACTATATAATACAAGAACTGTAACAAAATGAGTGCCAAATGAAGTTTAAGATGAAATAAAATCAACATATCTTATGCACTATTAGCGTTATTTAATATTCATAAAATTAAAAACTCGAAGATCAACCTAGACTGAAAAAAAAGAATCATTTAAAATGTATGAGAAAGAGGGTCTTACCAAGGAAAAGAGAGAGGAAAGACTTGTGCCCTTTTATCCCAACCTCACATTTGAATGAAAGAGTGAAAGCTACTAAATTGTAATAGTTAGAGAAGACCTAATTCAAATAAGAAAGAGGGTTGCTGAGAAGNATATATATATATATAATATTCAATTAAACTGTAATAATCTGTGGAGGATTCTCATTCTTAAAGTATGATATAAGAGGTAGGTTTTTTTTGTTTGTTTTTTAGGGATGAATCAGAGCGACAAAGGGCTGGATTTCAGTGGTTCGTGGCATGAAGACCACTCTACTACTTACAATATCTCGTCGCGTATTTAAGTCGTCTGCAAATGAGAGGTACGTCTCTCAAATCCACCTCCTTGTACAAGGCTCTTGGGTATCAAAAAACTTTCACCAAAAAATATGATTTTAAAACATGTGTAATTACTAAAAAGAAGTATCATTAAAAAGATCTAGCATTGAATATGAGATTAACCTAATCCAATCATTTTATTTTGGAAAATAACTCATGTTGTAACGACTTACGACCACAATTACGTATGTATTAAAAAGTTATAATAAAAAGAACATTATTCATTCAAAAGTATTTATATATGTAATTTCGTAATAATATGCAAGTTTACATATTCAATTTTTTTTGATTATAACTCAAATGACATTTAATGTCTGTTGCAATGTGATGATTTGAAGTTTGATTTTCAATTGATTCCATTTCTTCTCTTAGGAAAATGTTGATGGAAATTGCTCCTTCGTACTTCAAATCAAATGAGCTGGTTTTGACAGGTTGATTAAGCACAGGAGATTTCTTATATTATAAAGTATAGATAATATAAAAAAGAAGTTATATATTATACAAGATTGTTTAGATTTTCTTTTACAATAATTCTTTTACACTAAGCATGTAGAAAACATAATGATCACATCCACATCCATCATTATTTATTCATTGATATTTTCTAACACTAATAATAGTAATAGTACAACAACAAATATCTTCCAATCCTAAGCTAATCGACTAGTAGCAGTGGTATTAAAATTAATTTCTCCCGTTTACTTCTTAATCTGATATTTCTTTTTTCTTTAAAAAAAACAATTTTCCGTCAGTGGAAATGGAAAAAAGAAATTATTGAACCTAAACCAAATAAAAAAATAGTAATGAAGACATAATTTTCTGGTAAATTTGGATAATGCGTAACTAAAAGTAGATAAAAGTCAAAGCAAGTCTGATCAAAATCCAACTGTATTTTTACTTGCACGAAAAAATCTAAAATACCCCTACATCTAACTTCCTAGATCAGTTAACTAATTAACAAATTAACAAATTTTAGTTAAAAATAAACAATATCCCCTCATCATAGATTTTACTCAAAAAGTAAGAAGATACCCCTGCATCTACCCTCCTAGATCAATTGTTGATTTTAGTTGAAAAGTCAAAGTTACCCCTGCTTCTAGCCCTTCTAGATCAATTGTAGATTTCATTCAAAAAAAGTCAAAAATATCTTAATATCTACCAAATCTGAAACAGCAGTAGTTATATAATTTTCTGGTAAATTTGGATAATGCATAATTAAAGCAAGTGTAATCAGATTCTAGCTCCATTTCATCTACTCAAAAACTCAAAAATACCCCAATATCGACCCTTTTATAGATAATCAATTGTTGATTTTACTTAATAGTAATTAAAAATTTGTGTTCTATGCCTTAACATTTATAAATTATTTACACAAACAAGTTACTTATGAGGTAATTTTGCAAAATTTTATATAATAAATATTAATTATTAATATCACAAATAATACTATAGTGTAAAGAATATTTAATCTATTGTAGATCAATTGTAGATTTCCTAGATCAATTTGTATTAGATTTTACTGTAAAAGGTCGAAAATACCCCCACATCTGCCCGCGTAGATCAATAATCAATTGTAGATGTTAGGTTAAAAGTCAAAAATACCCTTACAGCTACGCTTCCTACTAGATCCAGATGTAGTATTTCTTTTCTAACTTGGACTCATTTTTACGGTTAAACCCCAACGGGACTGTAACACAATTCATTCCCAATTCGCTCTCTTTCTTCAATTTCATGCATCAAAACATCAACAACGCATCGTGAAAACACAGATCGGATCCCGCGCTTACGGCGGAACACGGTGGAGCAGAGTCTCTTCCGTACAACATTGGCCGCTTGCCGGTTGTCACTTTCAGTTTCTCTCAAGGTATTTTAAGAAAAGAGAAAAAATACTGTTTTGATTGAGGTTTTTGATTCGTTACATCGATCTAAGGTTAATTCAGCGTAATTAAATGTGAATGTATTAGAAACCGCTATTTGTCATATCGAATTTTGTACATGCATTGTTTTTAAATTTTAACATGATTTTGTAATTAGCGGTTTTAGTTTTATAGTTTTGCTCTGTTGTCGGTAAAAAAATAAAATTTACTGTTTTGATTTGAGGTTGTGATCAATGATCCGTTTACATCGATCTAAGTTAATTTCAGTTTAATTAAATGTGTATGTATTAGAAATCTTTATTTCTTCTGTTGAATTTTGTACATGCATCGTTTCAACATGCTTGTGTACTTAACGGTTTTAGTTTTGCGCTGCTGTCGGTATAAATTTTTGTGTTTGAATTGGTGGCCAATCGCGATGATGATCTGTGTGAGTACATGTGATCTGTGATTTTTGAAGTTGACGTGAAAGGTTAATTGGATTTAATTTTAGTATTTTGTTTTTAATTTTACGCGTGAAAAAGAATAGCTTTTTGGTAATCATGTGTTGTTGGTGCCATGGAAATGCCTAATTAGTTTTGAATTCAGTCATGAGTTTGAATGAGGTTGTGAGATATGATTTTAAGTTAATAGCATAGGTTTGACTCGTAAGAAGTTTGTGTATTTTACTTGTCAATTTAGCAGCAAAAGAAAGCTCTTGGAGATGATCTGAGTAAAATGTTTTGTAAATGCGTTTTTTTGTTCATCTTTTACTTCTTTTTTTTTTTGGTATGTGATCTCGGATCTGTTTTTCAGTAAATCATCTAAAGTCAATATTAGTAGCTGTTGGCACCACAGAAACGCTTCATTGTGAATTCAATCATGAGTTTGAATGAAATTGGAAGATAGGATTTTAAGTTAATAGGCATTGTTTTGACTCGAAAGAAATTTGTGTAATTTACTTGTCAATTTAGCAGAAAAAGAAAGCTCAAGGAGATGGTCTGAGAATAATGCTTAGTACATGTGCTTTCTGGTCTGTGATATCAGATCTGTTTTTCAGTAAATCCACTGAAAGTCAATGTTAGTACTCCCTCCGTCCAATTTTATGTGATGTTTTGACTGGGAACGAAACAAGCGAGAGAGCTGACTTTGAGAAAGAAAAGGGGCGCCCCTCGCCGCAATCGAGAAACAACACTAACTGGGAAAGGCACTCTTGAAGAAGGGCCTGCCATACGTTGGGGTGAAGAAAGCTTCTTATCTTATAGGAGAGGTGCTGAAAAAGACAGTCTTCAAGAAGTGAGAAGGAATCACAAAAGAAATAGCTTTTGTCTATTTATTCATATTTGGTTGGATTCCTCGATTCATCTTATGTCTTAGATGGAATAGCCTCTTTTTCTAGCTATTGCTTAAAAGAAAGGAACACTTTTGAGACTTGTGGTCTAAAATAAGCCATAGATATCACTGATAAGAAAAAAACAGGCCATAGATATTAGTGTGGCTATAGATCATCCCATTAAGGGTAAAATAGAAAGTTTAAAATTAAATTGTTTCTAAATATAGAAATGTGTCATTCTTTTTCGGATAAATTCAAAAAGAAAGTGCATCACATAAATTGTCAGACAGAGAGAGGGAGTAGTCATCTTGAAGTAAAACTTTAGTCTGATGTGGTTCTTTTTGCTTTCTTTTTTGTTCTGTCTGGAATGTATTTTTGAGGATTTTCTGAGAATGTGCTAGGTTTAATGCCTTGTTTTTTACCATAAAATATTTAAATAAATTTTTCGCATATTCATATTTTCATCTGTTACAAAAAAGAGGTTGATAAATATTAGATAAACCTGTTTATAGCATATCCTTGTTTGTTTCAATTATGCATGATGGAACAATGTATTTCTTGACTATCCGTAAAGTGAGCCTTAATTATACTATACTTCTTAAGTCTCCAACATCCCAATCTCTCTTTTCGGGTTTGCAAACAGAACCTCTAGGTCAAGGACGAAATCCTCAAACCAATAGAAATATGATTTCTACTTCACAATTCTTATGTTAAGAAGTTATGTCTTATTCATGTGATGAAAAAGATAAGACCTAAAGGTTATCAAAAGAAAGATGAGACTTAAAGAGAAGCAAGTATCACATGCACAACCGATTCTGTGCCGCAAATCATATGGACTTGTGAAATTGGTAGGGATGGAGCTTTGGGGAACGAATGTATTGAGACATCCAAATAATTGTCAATGAATTTGGGCATTTCTAGCGCCCAGGAGTGCACTGGTTATTTAGCGCATTCAGTCTATTTCACTTAATTCTTATTTTTGAGTTTTGACGATTCAATTTCTCTTATGCATTTTGAACTGTTTTGATGGTTTACATCTGGGATAGTTTATTCTGGGGGATAAAGGATTTAAACCTAACATCATTGCTGTGGTTGTAGGATGTCTGTTGATGCTGAGTTTCCCTATGGTCCATCCATCTTAACTGACGAAAAATTGCCAGAAGTGGGGAATTCAGCTGCTCCATGCCAAAATTCATCTAGCAATGACGCTGTTGTGTTTACAAAAGAAACTTCGAACTGCCCTGCTGATAATGGTCAAATGAAACGTAATACAGTGTCAGAGATAACAGGCATTGAAGAAATGAGTGGTGAATCTGGTGGTTCAGACAAAAGTAATGATGATGAAAAATTAAGTAAAGGATGTGCAGAAGATGCAAAAGCAGATGGCAACAATGAAGACAAGTTACAAAGTGACCAAAGTGAGAACGCTGAAAATGCAGACAGTGATGGTCAAGGGGCACCGAGCATGGTCACAGAAATTAAAGGTGTCAGTGAAATAGGAGGTGATTTTAAAGGAGATGTCCAATTAGTATGTGAAGAAAGTGGCCAAACTGCAGCTAGCACTGTTATAGAGATACAAGCCGTTGAAGAAATTAAGGGTGAATCTACTGGTTCAAGGAAAAATGATAAGAGTGTGGATGCTGAAGAGACGGATATGAACAGTTCAATGGCTGTCAACCCTGTTATTGAGACAGTAGGCATGGAAGAAATGCGAGGCGAATCTAGTGACCCTCGCAGAAGTAATGATGACAGAAGTGAAGAAAGTGGGGAAGCTGAAAACGCAGACAGCAGCTGCCAAAGGGCACCTCACTCAGCCATGGAGATGACGGCATTGGAGAAAATGGGATGTCTATCTAGTTTTGTAGAGAACAGCAGCGGAGACAGGTCACAATGTGACCAAAGTGAGAATGCTAAAAATGAAGACATTAATGGTCAAGAGCCACCCAACATGGTCACCAAAATCAAAGGAATCAATGAAATTGGAGGTGATTCTGATGGTGATGTCAAATTAGCATGTGAAGAAAGTGCAGATACTGAGAAGGTAGAGAGCAATGGCCAAGCGTCACCTAGCACTGTTACAGAGATTACAGCCATTGAAGAAATTAGGCCTGAATCTAATGGTTTAAGCAAAATTGATGAGAGTGTGGATGCTGAAAAGGCTGGCAGCAACAACTCACTATCTACCGACATTGTTACTGAGATCAATGAATTAGAAGACGAGTCTAATGGTGCAGAGAAAATTAACAATTTTTCTGAGATCACTGGAATACAAGTTGAGTCTAATGGTGCAGGGGAAATAAGTGATGATAAACTAGCATGCCAAGAGAGCACAAACACAGAAAAAGGAGGTGATTCTAATGGTGATGTCAAATTAGTATGTGAAGAAAGTTCAGATACTGAGAAGGTAGAGAGCAATAGCCAAGCGGCATCTAGCACTGTTACAGAGATTACAACCACTGAAGAAATTAGGCCTGAATCTAATGGTTTAAGCAAAATTGATGAGAGTGTGGATGTTGAAAAGGCTGGAAGTAACAATTCATTGCCTACCGACATTGTTACTGAGATCAATGAATTAGAAGACGAGTCTAATGGTGCAGAGAAAATTAACAATTTTTCTGAGATCACTGGAATACAAGTTGAGTCTAATGGTGCAGAGGAAATAAGTGATGATAAATTAGCATGCCAAGAGAGCACAAACACAGAAAAAGGAGGTGATTCTAATGGTGATGTCAAATTAGTATGTGAAGAAAGTTCAGATACTAAGAAGGTAGAGAGCAATATCCAAGCGGCACCTAGCACTGTTACAGAGATTACAACCATTGAAGAAATTAGGCCTGAATCTAATGGTTTAAGCAAAATCGATGAGAGTGTGGATGTTGAAAAGTCTGGTAGTAACAATTCATTGGCTACCAACATTGTTACTGAGATCAATGGATTAGAAGATGAGTCTAATGGTGCAGAGAAAATTAACAATGTTTCTGAGATCACTGGAATACAAGTTGAGTCTAATGGTGCAGAGGAAATAAGTGATGATAAACTAGCATGCCAAGAGAGCACAAACACAGAAAAAGGAGGTGATTCTGATGGTGATGTCAAATTAGTATGTGAAGAAAGTTCAGATATTGGGAAGGTAGAGAGCAATGGCCAAGCGGCACCTAGCACTGTTACGGAGATTACAGCCATTGAAGAAATTAGGCCTGAATCTAATGGTTTAAGCAAAATCAATGAGAGTGTGGATGCTGAAAAGGCTGGTAGCAACAGTTCACTGGCTACCGACATTGTTACTGAGATCAATGGATTAGAAGATGAGTCTAATGGTGCAGAGAAAATTAACAATGTTTCGGAGATCACTGGAATACAAGTCGAGTCTAATGGTGCAGAGGAAATAAGTGATGATAAACTAGCATGCCAAGAGAGCAAACACACTGAAAATGCAGACAGCCAAATTCAGAGTGTATCCAATGTGGTCAGTGAAATCAAAGGAACTGAAGATATAGAAGGTGAATCTGATGTCGCAGAAAAAAGGACTGATGGAAACTCAACCTGTGGAGAAAGGAAGGATGCTGAAGCAATGAATAGTGGCAGTCCAGTTTATACAGGGTGCGTTCCTAGCCANCGCAAAAAAGGGACAAAGGATGTCCTTAGACTCAATTTAGTTGATTAGTACTGTTGTGAGCAGATTTAGATGGGCGAGAAATTATGCGCTCTTTTTTCTGCTAAAGTGAGATCTGTGGTCAATTAAGAAGAATATGATCAAGTCAATATCTTCAATTTTTTACTCTCCATTTTTTTTAGTAGATATGCTATTTATATTCAGGTTGCAGTGAAGTTTATGTTGCAGCCTGTAACGGGTGTCCTTATATTTGATATTATTGAGAATTCAGATACACTCTTATCTTTGAAGAACAAAAGATTTGTCTGATTCATTTCTGATCTTTTGATGAGAGGTTTTGTAGTCTGCAGACAGATATTTACGGTTCTATCCTCGGTCACCTTTTCTATTAAGAGACATGAGTGCAGGGAGGAGGCTGGAGATGTGACTTTCCCATTCATGTTTCTTCCTTCACTGTAATATGCTATTGGATGTATGTGACTTATATCCACGTTGCATTTGGTTGAAGCTTCGTTTTCAGTATAAGAATGCATACACTGGGCTTGGTACCTTTTGCATGATAGACTTGATGTTTGTTTAGTAGCTTGATATTCGGAGTGCACTGATATTTTATCTTTTTTCAAATTGAGCTAGGATTTTAAACTGATTAACCAACTTGAAGGGCTTCACATTAATTCTCTGACCGCTAAGTGATTCTATTTACTAGAAAACATAGTGATGCTGAATTTTCCCACAGTTCATCTTTTTAGCTGACATAAATTTGCAGCGTTGATTCTGTCACATCTGGAAAGGAGAGCACGAATAACCCGGTTAATGATGTTCAAAATGTGCACAACACTGTCTTCGAGACTAAATGCAATGAAGAAATTGGAAGTGCCTCTAATGGTGACAAAGATATAGATGACAAAGTGATGCACCAAAGAGATGAGGAGTCTGAAAGATTGCAGAGTGATGGTCTAGCTAGTGATGGGTGAGTTCCTAATTTCTGAAGCCCCAGTCTCCCCTTGTTAAAGACGAGACACTTAATCTGAAAATATCTCAACAGGATTTTGGATGGAAGGAAATTAATTCCCTTTGGCTGCCCTTTGTTTCTAATAAGAGGTTTCTGATTAAGTGCATGCCATCTCTGTTTGTCATTAGACGTAAACATTGAAATTCATGTTAACTTAAAGTGAGACCCATACTGATATCAGTAGATATAGCTCTTTCGTGTTAGCCGTTAATGAGAAGGCCAATATTTTAAATTGATTATTTGAATTTGTGCTCTTCCCCGAAAATAAAATCTTTTATTTTCCTGCTGAAGCAAAGTTCGTTTAGATTTTGAGTGTGATATGCATGGCCTAGCAGTCAATGAAGCTAGAATGGATTATGGGAGACCAATGTTCATATCCAGAGGAGGCAAACACCGTTAGCAAAAAAAGAAATTGGATGTGATACATTATCATCTAGGTTCTTATACATCTCTGGTCATAATTCATATTACCAAACAACATTATATTGACCAGTATGTGAATCCATATGGAAAGTTGCTGGTTAAATTTGGTTGCCTTAGTTAAATGTTTATGAACAGTGGCGGATTTAGGATTTCTAGTATATGGGTGCGCACTGCTATAAAAAAATGAGACAAATTTATTAAGTGGGAATTGATCCCTATTCCCCTTGGTAATTAACTCAACCTTCAACCAAGCGCACCATTCACCCTTCTTGGAGCACGGGTGCCAGCAGTTAATATTATACCAATTTTAGAAAATATGTACATAAAATATTTAATTTTGCGGAGAGACCATGGGTTCACGTGCCCCATATTTTTGCCTATAAATCTGCCCCTGTTTATGAAGTCCGGAATATGTTGTCTCGCTGCTTTACTATCTAGTGATCCTATATACTTCACTTAATTGGTAGATTCATTCTGGATAGCTATGTGAAGATCCTTTTATGTGTACTATGCTGTAGGATGTCCAGTGATGCTGAGTTTTCACGTGACCTGTGTATTTTAGCTGATGCTAGACTGTCTGAAGTAGAGAATTCTTTTACTTCGATCAGCAGAGACATGTCTAGCAATGATGCAATTGCGTGGGGAAATGAAACTTGTGATAGCTGTATTTCTCATGGTCAAAGTCCAGTGGGCATGGTTCAAGAGACCATTGGTAAAGAAGTAGAATGTGAATCTAACGGTGTGGACAGAAGTGGGGATGATAAATTGATGTGCGAAGAAATTGAGGATGGCAAAAGATTCAACTGCAGTAGTCTAGCTGCTGAAGGGTGAGTACATGGGTTACAAAGATAGAAATTTTTCTTTCTTCAATTGTACTGGGTGGTTGAGGATAAAAACTCGCCAAATAAAGACACATCTTTATAAAATAAATGTTTCTGGGTTGATGGTGACCTAAAGTATATAAGTCAGTAGGTTATTTTTCCCCTTTTGCTTCCCGGAACAGTCTATCCGATGCAAATTGAGAAGTAGTATTAAGTAATGAACGTATCTTCTTTTGTATCTGTTGTTCATCTGTAATCATGCGACTTACAGTCTTTAATGCACATACAAATATGGTATGTATATGTGATTGATATGCAAATTAGTTATTAGGTTCAGAATTGTGAATTAGTATATTCAGTAATGGCAATTACATTCTACTTAGACATGAATGAAGTGGGAAAAGGCAAGTAAATATAATGACGACCCAAAACCAAAAGAGAAAGGATCAATTCCTCTTGTCTCGTTTGGGGNGGGGGGGGGGGGGATTGAGTGTGATGGTTTTTTAGGGAGGGGGACGAGCACAGTCCGGGTTGAGTACGCGTGTGTGTCTGTGTGTATGTGTAGATAGGTAAATGGGATAAGGGCATATACTACCACATTGTCAAACCGTAATAGCTCGAGGCCATCCTCTTCTCCGTGATGAATAATTCACATAGACTATAGTCCAAGGCTCTAGGTAATTAATATCCACTATTCTAGTCGAGCAAGAAAAGAAACTAAATCTTGGGTTGCAATCCAATCTCTCAATTCTCGACTTATTCCAGGTTAATTAGCAGATAAATGTATTAAGTAATAGTTAATGCTCTTGGAAGAAGAATACTTTTCTTGCTTGTTTAAAAATGGTCTTCATTTACTAATAGTTTATTTAGAGTTGAATAAACTCAGTGTTTGACTATTTGCTCTTGTGATGTAGGATGTCTTGTAATGCTGAGTTTTCCCAAAGCCTATCTACTTTCGCTGATTCAAACTTTTCTGAGGTGGGTAATTATTGTGCTTCAAGTACTAAAGACATGTCTAGCAACGATGCTTTTGGGGCCAAAAATGAAGCTTTGTATAACTGTGCTGATGATTCTCAACTGGGACCTAACTTGGTCAGAGAGGGTAGTGGAGTTGAAAATTTGGAAGGTGTATCGAATGGTGCGGACAACAGTATTAACAACGGAATACTTTACGAGAACTGCGCGGATACTGAAAAATCGCACATCGGTTCAGATAATGTGGGGTACGTTTCGAACTATCTGAACATATACCGTTTACGCAATTAATGATATAATCTATGCAGATAGAAGAGGCTATCATAGTGTAATCTGTACGTTTTTGGGTAATATTATTATTCCCCTTTTTGCTGTCTTATTTGTTCCTTTGATTTGAATAAGAAAGTTTCAGAGATAGTGGATTGTCTGTTTTTCTTGTGTGCTATTTATCCGAACTTTTAATAACCCCAATCTCTCTCGATAGCTAAGTTGGTCTCTTGGTCGCTCTTGAATATTTAAACTCACAATTGCCCTCAAGTTCCACTTTTAATTCATAGGACTAAATTGGTCTTTCTTCCACACTCCACTTTCCAACTCTCAATAAGCCACTGAACATCGAGAATACTTTTGGCATTGGGATGGCTTTTCCGTCCATTTCCTTTAGATAAACAAGGAGGATTCTATCATAAGTTGTTCCCTCCAAGAAAAAAATTGCAGCAGCAATAAATCCATGATTGATTATTTGTAGAAGGCCTCCATTAAGTCCCTTATCAATTATGTTACTTCTTCCTACAATTATGAAACCCATATGAAGAACTCCTATGTCTATTTTTTTTCCTTAAAGAAGTTTTAAAGATATTGTTTTTTTGAAATTATTTAGGGTCTATCGGAAACAGGAGATTAATAAAACAGAAAGTATCATAGTACGTTGTCCTTTCCTGTCCGTGCACTGTTTTTCTTTGCTCGTGTATATGAAAGAATTTTGGGTAATTGGGAGTCTCTCTGCCCTTCCGGGGTAGGGGTAAAGCTGCGTACATCCTACCCTCCCCAGACCCCACTTGTGGGATTACACTGAGTTGTTGTGTTGTTGTTGTTGTTGTTATTATTAGCAATTTATATTTAATAAAAATAAAACTATTTTTTTAGACATATACACTCGCATCGAGTGTCCCTATATTAGTTTGAATATTAATGAGGTTGCATGGTGTTTACATTAGCTGGAATCCTCATGATTTAGATAATAAACCTTTGTTTTCTAGTTATTCAAGCCAAGTATCATTCATCCGTTGTTTCATGAATGCTCCTGTTGAAAGAAGAAATTTATTTATTTATTGCCTATGCTATTTTATTCTTTTTATACTAAAAAAATACAATTATGGGCGGTTACTTTGGCAATTACGGTTGGTATTTTGCATGGAAAATCAGCTTTACTCTCTTCAATATGGGAACCCACATTGATCACTGGTATAATATTGGTTGTCTCAAGGAAGTCCTTTTATTCATCGGCTTATAAGGGCTACCTACTTACCTTATACAGTCCTGTGAATTTATTTGTGCTTATATTGTTCATCTTTTTTACCGATAAAAAAGTTGGCAAATATGCACAGCATACCAAATGTTTCTTTTGGAGAACTCAATATGCTTTTACTGCTATATAAGCCCTTTTCAGCATACCTATTTCTTAGTGCAAGCATATGTAGTTTAACAAATAGGTACTGTCCATGTTGATGGTCCCACAATCTTGTGTTTTTATATTAAACCAAGGAATTAATGTTTCAATTTGAGGGGATTTGCTTCCATAATCACTTATCAGTTTCACCAGAAGTTTGTTCTTGTCTTTATAATTAGGTCCCTATATAGGGGAATTTTCTTTAGTTTTATGTTCTTGTAGTATCCTAATTTCTTCTTGTGATTTGATGTTTGATGCTAATGGGTTGTTGAATTTGTCATGTCCAGGAATGCAATGCTTTAGTTAGTTTACCATGTCATCTTGTTATTTTTGCTTGTCTTTTTGTCATTTATGGTATGTTGGAATTTCCATTGCTGTATATTTTATGGAGACAACTAACTAAGCTGCTTATTGTTCGTCTTGTAGGGTGCATGGTGATGCTGAAGTTCCCATTGACCAGTCTGTTTTAGCTGATGTAAAATTGTGTGAAGTTGGGAACTCTTCTGCTTCAAGTATTAAAGATGTGTGTCGCGATGTTGTATCTGGAAATACTTTGAATGAGCCCGTTCATGACAGTAAAATGGTGCCCATGCCAAATACGGCTATAGAGTTCACTGGCATTAAGAAAGAAGAAGGTGAATCTAGTGTTGCAGACCAAACCAGTGATGACAAATTTTTACATGAAAGTGAGGATGCTGAAAAACCACCGAGCACAAATATTGATGAAAGGTGAGCATCTGACTATCTGAACAGTTAATAGAGGATTTTCCTAAAAGTAAAAATAATCCCCTTTTGCTGGATAAAACTATCTGAAACAAAAGCAAAGTGTTTTTGGTTTTGCAGAACCTTCCTTTCCTTTCATGACTTTGGCAGTTAAGAAACTTAATCTTACTTATCTCCAGGTTGAATAGAAGTTTAAGTTGATTGAATTAATAAATAAAACATGGTTTTGGTTCTAAAACTTGCACAGTTTGATGAATTATTGTGTTTTCCTGAGAAAGCTAATTTAATCCTGCTTGCTGGCGAACCTATTTTGAAACAAGCCAACTTTTTTTTTTCCCTTTAGATCCATCCTTTAAATTTCCATGTGTGGTAAAAGTTTAAGTTGATTGAATTTCTGAGGTCAACACGGTTCTGGTAATAAAACTTGTTTCTTTCATTAACAATAAACCTTTTACAGTTAATTTCATCAAAAATAAAACTTTTTAGTTTACTGATTCTGGTGAAAAAGTGTTCATCAGCAACTCAACTAATGCTCCTCTCAGGAGAGGTTTCTGTTTCTCATGCTTGTGAACTATTTTTTCTGAATTTTGAGGTGAAATAGTTGATGCTCTGAGCACATGAGTATCAAATGGTCATGGCAGCAATGTCAGTCATGGTTCCAGTGCATTAATTTGCAGCAGCGTATTGAGGTAGACCAGCAATGCACTTTAGGCTGCCTTTTGACCTTTTAGTTTTCAGTGATGAATGTTAATATCTTTTCAATTTTGAGTTTTCTTAATTACAGTAGTTAAGTTCTATATTTTATCTACATAGCTGGGCCGGTTTCCGCAGAAGAAGCAAGCAAAAGGCGTGGAAGTTCGCCCCATTAGCTCTCATGTGGATAGTTTGGGGAGAGAGAAATAGGAGAGTTTTTGAGGGGATTGAGTCTTCTTTTTCACAACTTAAGAATAGCCTTTTATCTTTGATCGCTTTTTGGTGCACCCATATAGCACCTACTTGTGTAGAAGATTGGGTGTCTTTTGTAGAGAATCATGTTCTGATGTAAATTCTCTAATTTTTGGTATACTTCTTCTATTCGGGAGTTTTTTTCTCCCTTTTGATTAATACAACTTACCTTATCAAAAAAAAGTTCTATATTTTTATCTGCTTGTTTAGTTATATTATTTTTTATATGTGTTTCTTTTAACTTATGGGTTGTTTTTCAAATGATTATCACGTTTAGAAAGTTTAAGGTTTCATCTGCTCTTATGATTGTAGGATGTCTGGCAATGCTGAAATATGCCATGATCAGGCTACTTTGGCTGACTTAGAGTTGTCTGTAGCGGGAAATACTTCCGCTCCAAGCACTAGAGATGTTCCTAGCAATGATGCTGTGACATTTGGGAACGAGACTTTGACTCGCCCAATCGAAATTGATCAAGAGTCAGCCAACATGAGCATAGAGATTGCAGGCGCTGAAGAAACGGGAGGTGGTTCAGACAGGAGTAATGATGACAAACTAATGTGTGAACAAGGTGGGGATGCTGAAATTTCAAGTACTAGTGATTTGTTGACCACTTCGGCTGAGTGTTCCTCTGTGGACGCTGTGGCTGTAAGGGATATGAATGCGAGTGCAGCAAAGGGATTTAACTTCCTGATAAGGATGCCAAGATTTGATGATGAAAAACTCCGAGAATGTATCAGAGTAGCTGAGCTAAATGTTGATGAGAAGACGCAACACAGGGATGCCTTTAGACAAAAAATCCGAAACAAAAGAGTGTGTCTCCAATTTTCAATAATATTTTTTAATCTCTTTATTGTGGCTTGGTAAACCTTAGTAGGAAATGCCTTTTTAATGAGCAGGCCAATTGCCAAACTCATGGTGCTGAATTTGAAGCTGCCAAAACTCAAGAGAGAGATGCTAGAAAGCAAGTTAGGACAAAACGTGCAGAGATCTCAACTCTTCAAGATGTGATTGATAAAGCAAAGAATGCAGTTGCCATTGATGAGATTGATAATAGGGTATGGATTTGTGACAACCCAGTAAAAAGATTTAATCAGCAAACTGGAGTGTTTTGTTTCTGTTCTGTGAATTTGTTATTTATGTTGCATGATCTATTCCCTGCAGATTTGTAATATGGAACACATTATTGGGCATGAAACACTACCTTTGAAGGAGGAAAAGCTCCTAATTCGTGAAATCAAGCAACTAAAGCAGCTTCGTGGACAGATTTCATCCAACATTGGTAGGCAGGATGAAGTGCAGAAGGCTCTGGATGAGAGAGATGTAAACGAAGAACAATTGAGGGTGGGCCCACTAAGATGCCTTAATGTTCCACTGAGTACAACCTTCTACTGCTTATCATAAATATAATTGATATCAAGTGGTGTCAATAACATTGCGCATTGAAGAGTAGTATTGGATGCCTGACAGCAGCAATTTTTTGGTCAAGCTGTCACTTTTTGCTACTTAGTGTTATGATTTTCTTTTCCTTTTAATTTGCGTTAACCTGGAGACAAATGTGTGCAGATCTTGAAGAAAGAACTTGATAACCTTAAAATCAAGGCCTCAAAAGCTGAAACAATTGCGATGGCAGCTAGCCGAAAATATGAAGATGAGAGTCGAAAGCTCAAAGAATTGCAAGCGCAGTTTAAAGCTGCAGATGATATCCGACAAGAAGCATATGAAGAATTGCGGAATTTAAAAAAGGGATTCTATGAGAAGGTTTGTAACCACATCCGAGTAGATTGAACCTTGAACTGTTATAGTCTGTTCTCAGGATCCGATACTCTCTTCTTCTGACCTAGGGGCTCCAATGATAGAGAAACTTATTTCTACAGTTTTTACTTCACAATACAACCACAAACATTTTTGCTTCCCAAGTTATGCCTACACTGGGTTAGTTAATGCTTGAAGCTGGCGGGCTTTTGACTTTTTTTCTATTACGTGCAATTTTGTTGGCTAGTACAAGTTCTCTGGTCCTGTCATTTATTTATTTATTTTATTTTATTTTATTTTCTATGGTTGCATAATTCTAGAGATTAGATAATTTACTGTTCAACTGAAAAACGAAAATCATATTTGACTGGCAAAATTTTACCGGATCACATAATGCCTGAAAATGCAGAATGTTCATTTCCGGACATACAAGGATGAAGCGACTTTGGCTAGTGATCATGCACGAAAGAGAGAAATGGAGGCTCTTAATCACCTCTGTGTGAATCAGGTTGGTCAGCAACTTTATTCTTGAGTTGTCTTCCAGTGAAATTCCACTTTCGCTTCTGTCTAATAGTTACTCTGTCAGGTCGAAAGGTACATGGAACTTTGGAATAAGAATGCTGAGTTCAGAAAGGAGTACATCAGGTGTAATACAAGAAGTACGTTGAGGAGATTTGGGACCTTGGATGGTCGTACACTTGGCCCTGATGAGGAGCCAACTGTACTTCCCAGTTACATGGAGCAAAGAGTTGCTAGGCTGGTTGCTCGTGTAGATAAAGTTAATTTTGTGTCACAAGCTCCGGTCTCTCAGCAAGAAAAGCAAGCAGTACTTTTAAAGGATGAAATTAAGGATGACAAAATCACGCTGCAAGCAGCAGAAAAAATGAATCCGATTGAGAAAATGAAAGAAGAAGCTCCGAAACCAATTCAAAGAGAGATGAGTGTGGTTGATGAGCCAAAAGAGGCCGAGCAACTGCAAACTGCTCAGGAGCTGGAGGCTGCTAGAAAGGAGGAGGAACAGAGGAAGCGTGAGGAAGCAGCCAGGTTGAAAGAGCAACGGCGGTTGGAGGAGATTGCAAAGGCTAAGGAGGCATTAGAAAGGAAAAAACGCAATGCAGAAAAGGCCCAACTGAGGGCTGAATTACGAGCCCAGAAGGAAGAAGAACAGAGACTGAAGGTAAATCTTCAGTTATTTCGAAGCAGATTTTTGGTTTTCTTTCACACATCCTATGAATTAATAGGATCATCTCAATAAATTATCATTTATGCACGAAGTTTAAATCATATCTTATTTCATACAGGAGAAGGAGAAAAGGCTGCGGAAGAAGGAAAGGAAGAAGGGTGCTGTAGGTGAAACACAGACCGAAACTAATGATGGTGAAACTGCTTTGGTTTCCACCAGCCCGAGAGAAACTGTCAAGGAGCCGGAGGCTGCTGAGAATCCTCAAACGACCACTAAGAAGCCTCAGAAACCATCTCAATATACAAAGCAGATCAAGACAAAATCCACCATTCCTCCCCCGCTTCGCAACAGAAGTAGAAGGAAATTGCAGCAGTGGATTTGGTTAACTATTTCTTGCTTGGTTGTTATTGCTCTATTTTTTCTAGGAAACATTGGCTTCTTCACCAATTTGAAGCAGCGAGGAAGCCCGAGATTTTAGTGCCTTAACCTTGTTGGTTTTGGCTCGGTGTGAGACAGATTGCTTTATTTTACAGATGGAATAGGCCATTCTTTTACTCTATACATATAGTGTTGGTTCATCATAGTTTTGAACATTTTTGGTTCTTATTAGTAGTGATAAGACGTTTTAAAACAACAGATATAACATTTTCATATTGGTATTTATTGCAAACCATATGTGTAATAATCTTATTGATTGCCTTGCTTGCTTAATTATCCTGCTAAATGGTAGTACTGAGTTTAACGGTAAAGGGTTATCGGCATCGAAGTACAACAACAACAACCCAGTATAATCCCATTAGTGGGGTCTGGAGAGGGTAGTGTGTACGCAGACCTTACCCCTACCATGAGGTAGAGAGGCTGTTTCCAATAGAAACTCGGCATCCTTCCCTCCAAGACCTCCCCACCTTGCTCTTGGGGTGACTCGAACTCACAACCTCTTGGTTGGAAGTGAAGGTTGCTTACCATCAGAGCAAACCCTCTTGTCAAAGTGTAAACCAAATTTGATGCTCCACAATAGTGGCATGCTAAGATTTACTACTATAATCCTAGCCTCTTTAGTAATTTATTGTTAGATGATGATTTGTTTTCGTTATATACCATGTTAATTGTTAATACCAGAAGTGAATTCCAAAATGGAATTGGTAATCTTGTTTACCATTATAAAGCATTGTATCAAAATTTTAGGGGTTGTAATCAGTATGTACAACAAACGAATTTGCTATTCAATGGTCAAGAATATTAGATTGTTTCCTGCCCTTTTTTATTTTTCATCTTTTAATAACAAATGATGTCTCGTACTAACGTCGGATTTGGTGTGGTGACGTCGTTACCTTATTTTGTTCTTATATTGCCCTTCTTTATTACATCAAATATTCATATTTTATTTTTTACCCTACTTTTTATATAATAATTTTATTCCCTGGCCTATTTTTTCTTAGCAATGTTGCAAGTTTATTCTTTATACGGAAAAAGTCAAAATATGCCCTTGTACTATACGAAATTGAGCATTTTTCCCTTCGTTAATACTTTAGCTCAAGAATGCCCTTACCGTCACATAGTTGGTCCATATATGCCCTTAGTCATACAGTTGGCCCATATATGCCCTTTTCAAAACGGAATTCACCCAAACTAATTAGCTCTTTCGTTAATAGTATTAAAGTGTATTACAAACACTATTTCCTTTTTATTAGTACTTTTTTTTCTCTACCTTTCTCTTCTTTTCTTTTTTTTCTTTCTTTCTCCCTTATCCGATTTCCTTCATTGCTGATACCTTCTCCATTTTCGTCACCAATTTCACTTGACAAAACACATGAATTTCAATTACTAAGAAAATTCTCCCATAAGAATATTTTAATAGATCATATGTTTATCAATTTTTAAATTTTTACTGAACATATATTTAGTTATAAAAAATTTAACAAAGTAAGATTGAAATAATATTTATGTAACAAAAAACCCGAAAAATCCAACAAAATCGAACCAATCCAAACCGATATAATTAATTTGGTTTTGATAAAAACCGAACCACCCCGGTCCATGTACACCCCTAATTTACATAGTTAATAAAAAAAAATAAAAAATGTCTAGCTGAAAAAAGATGAAAAAAGACTAACAACTCAAATTTATAATACTAGAACTTGAACTCTGGGCTTTTAATCATTAAATTATCTTTATGGAAACAATTTAAATATTTTGGTCTTTTGAGTATTGTTAAATGTTGAAATGTTTTTATTATTTTAAAGTTTAAATCATAATTTTTGGAATAATTTAATTTTATTTATTTAGAGGGCCAGTGAAATTGGAACTTGATGGGAGAATTTTATGGGGTCTTATGGGAGAATTTTCTTAGTAATAGGAATTCATGAGAAAGAAAAGAGAAAAGTCAAGAAAAAAATGTACTAATAAAAAGGAAATAATGTTTGTAATATACTTTAATTCAATTAACGAAAGAACTAGTTAGTTTGGGTGGATTCCGTTTCGAAAAGGGCATATATGGGCCAACTGTGTAACTTTAAGGACATATATGAACCAACTATGTAACAGTAAGAACATTTTTGAGTTAAGTATTAACGAAGGACAAATGTTCTCAATTTTGTATAGTACAAAGGGCATATTTAGACCTTTTTCGTTCTTTATTTTATTGGTGTGACATCATGAAACGACATGATACGATACAATCTATCCAAATATCGTATTAATCAAACAATACAATACAATGTAGTTCATAGGACTGACAAGTGGGCTGGTCCCGGGCTTAACGGGCCCGGGACTAAACGGGCTTTTTGTAGGGACCGGGATCGTTAGATCCCGGGCTAAACAGTCCCGGCCCGCGGGCTAAACAGGCTAAGCGGGCCCTACATATTTAAAAAAAATAAAATAAAATAGATATTAGAGACAAAAGGATGCTAAAAAAAATATCTAAGACAATGTTTTGTAAATTTTATTATAGAATTGTGACCTAAGAATATATATATATATATATATA